GCTGGTGTGATTGGGTACAAAATCCAAAATAATCTTAACTCCAACTTCTTTAGATTTGGCTATTAAGTCCTCAAAATCTTGCATGGTGCCAAAAAGTGGATCAATTTCAGTAATATTAGATATATCATATCCAAAATCTGCCATCGGTGAGGTGAATATTGGGGAAAGCCATGTTGCTGCTATACCAATTTCTTTTAAATACGGCAATTTTTCTGCAATGCCTATAAAGAAGATTTGCAAATGAATAACATGGCAAAACAATAACAAGAAATTTAAAAACAATAACAAAATAAACCGATAAACGCAATACATTACTATATATATTATTTAAATACCTCTCAAATCTCCCACCCCATTTCCATCGCTATCACTAAAAGACCTTGGATAAATTTGATAAAAAGACGCCGTTTGCCACCACTTTTTTTCAGCATTTAATTCTTTTAATGTTTTCTCTTTATCCCAAGAAACAAAGTCGAAGTGAGCACGATAATTTGGAAAAACGCCAGCATATATCACGCTTAATGCGCAAATGAATGTCACCCAGTGCAGCAGTGATCCCGGCATGACTAAAAAAATATTCCACAAATCTCTCCACTTAACAACTCAGTGTTCACACGACGATTCACGAAACAAGACTGACACGAGAAAAAACATTATCCCGCAGAGTAACGAAAAAATCAAAATCAAAATAAAAATCAAAATAAAAATAAAAACATATGTTGACAACTTGGTTGGTGGTCGGTTGTCGGTGGGAGAGGCATTAGACACACGTTTCTCACAAATAATATATTTCGCTTTTTTATATAATATTGTGGTTATCATTAGGCTTATTTAAATATTATCGTCTGCTTATTGCTACCGCTTACCGCATTATGAGTTCAATAGCACCGTTAACAAGTGCATGTAGAGTAAGTCATATCACAGATAAGTACTGGTGTGCTCGGCTATAAAAGCACACTACATACTGCATAACAGAGGTGTGTTATATATACATATAGCACACAAATATATAACTACCAAGAGATAAGCATTGTATACATTCATTCCTCACGATATTCTTAATCATGCTGATAAATAATAATAATAATTCTAAATATGTATTTTTTAAATTAATTTAAAATGTGTGGGAACATATATTCACAGAATATAGCCTTTGTCCCAATGACAAATTTATCAACGCGTGAAAATAAATCACTACCATCCATTGAATGTCTGAGATAGCAAAATTTTTGATTGTTGTATATAGAATTTTTTTATTTAGGTTAGTTAATTAGTTAAATACTATTACAAAAATGAAAAAGTATAAATTTTCTCTACCGAACGTAGCACCACTACTTCATGGGGCATTAATGTAATGCTTTTAACTGAAGTGAAGTCACTAAAATAGAAATAGAAAATATAGATTTATTCTAATATATTTGTTATAATTTAGATGTTTTACCCTTTTCTTCTTGGTGACTTATCATTGACAAGTATGTATTCCAGTTCATTTGGAATTCCCTTGAAACTGTCATCCAAATTTATATATTGCACATGTTCAAACACATTGAGCAAAACAATATATACTTGTTCCCCATATAAGTAGCTATTAGTGAAAAAAAAATAATTCTTATTGTAGTACTATTTGTCCCTATTTGCCTCACTCACCGCTTGACACCTAATACATTAGAGTTTACTGCCTTTACTTCAGCATTGCCATCTTGTAACACTTTTTCCGATCGCAAAACCTGTAGTTGCTTAAAAACATTCAAATGACTGAATGTTATACCACGTTGTCGTTTAACATTAACCAACTCATAATCTGTACCGACAGGTAACCAAGTAGTTTCGCCAGTTGAAAAACCAGCGTGCTTGGCATCACTCCATTGGAAGGGCGTACGAGCAGGATCACGTGAGCGGTACTCATAACCATCTTCGAACCCGTTACAAGCTTGCGGATCAACAGTATCATTCCATGATATCCACACATCAGTCATTCCAATCTCTTCCCCATTATAAGTAATACTGCAACCGGGCAAAGTGAGTAGCAATATATTAAATAAATCTATGCGTTCGCTGCCAAAACGTGAACCTACACGATTTTTGTCATGATTTCCTATCTGAGTGTGAAAAAAATGTTCATACACATAGCACTAAATCGTCTTGATAACTACATACCACCCAATTAGCACTTCTTCCTGCAGGCATACGATCTAACCAAGCATTTATTAGCTCGGCGTAATGATAGGCATCGGAACCGCTCCACAAGTAACTTATCATTTGAAAGTTAAAAGGAATCTGTGCACCTTCAGCAGTATCATTACCGTAGTAGTGCATCATTGTGTCAATTGGTGACCAAGCTTCTACCATTAAAATTCTTATCAGTATAAAGATGAAGAAAGAAAATAGGCATCAACATCAACTCCAAAAAAGTCAAAATATGAGCTGAATACCTTTCATCTCCACCGTTTTCCTTTTGAAAATCGTCCAATACTTTGCGCCATTCATACACTAAATGTGGTGTTTCTGGTTGATCAACCGTGTATATATGATCTACATAACCATAATCCTCAGGATCATTATTCCAATCATTTCGTGGTTCATCGGGATAGTTGCCATCTGCATCAGGGGCTATCTCAAAACCATGGTGTATGGCATCGACTCTGAAGCCATCAATTCCCTTACGCAACCAAAATCGTAAAATTTCCTAAAACCAAAAATTCTTCACAGCCTTAAATTTTTCCAAATACCTTTAAGTTACTTACATTCATAGTCTCGCGTACTTGTGGATTACGAAAATTGAAATCCGGCTGCTTTTTATGAAATTGATGTAAGAAATATTCTTGCCTGCCTTCGTGCCATTCCCATGCGGACCCACGGAATACACTTACCCAATTGTTGGGTGGAGAGCGTACACCGTTTTCAATTTTACCTGGATGCCAAACATAGAAATCCTTATATTCGGGGTCTTTTGCGGCTGATTTAATAAACCATTCACACTCATTGCTGGAATGGTTTGGCACGAAATCCAATATAATACGCACACCCAACTTTTTTGATTTTGCCATCAATTCATCAAAATCTTCCATGGTGCCAAAGAGCGGATCAACTTTTGTAAAATTTGATATGTCGTAACCAAAGTCAGCCATTGGCGACTCTAAGAACGGTGACAGCCATGTGGCTGCAATCCCAATTTCTTTTAGATAAGCTAAACTATCCGTCACACCTTTCAAATCGCCAATACCATCACCATCACTGTCTTTAAAAGAACGCGGATATATTTGATAAAATGAAGCTGTTTGCCACCAAGCCTTGGCAGCCAGACTAATATCAGTTGCGCCAAAGCAAAACAAAAACACTAAGACCCACTTAGGACTCATCGCGACGACCGTTCGCTTGAGTCTAATAATTTCTCAAAATTATTTGTGTCCAATTGTTTTTACAAAAATATTAAAAACTACTTTGTTTTTCGTCCAGTTTATATTGTAGCGAACCTAATCTTTATTGCACTAAAGATAAAGGCAAAAATAAGTTAAGATTAGTTCATAAATAAAAAATGTTTCGAATTACCTATATTTCATATTGATTGATATAATCAAAGATTTCCAACTAATGTTAAAAATTAAAGCACTTGCACTTAAATGTATATATGTCAAACATATGAACCCGGTATATAAATATGATCTAACGAGTAGTAATTAGCACTGCAATGAATTTATAAGGACTCAATCGCATAAATCGTATTCTGATAAGAGTGGTTCAATTAAGATTAAGTGTTAACTTTATATTGTACAGTAATTTGATTATGATTATGCTTTAAATATGAAATTAAACAACTTATATTTTTGTCATAACTATTAAAATTTACAATTGTTTATATCTAATAAGCCATCTATTCTCCAGAACGTACACTTTTTGCAAAGTATGTGCAAAGTATATAGACAAATAACTGAATATTATTTTTAGTCCGGCTTACAGATTTCTTCTGTAATGTTATTGTATTGCGTATACATACACATATGTAGGTATATTTATATTATTATATATTTACAATAATTAATATTTATATTGTTTACTGCAATTCGATTTGATTTGATAACAAATTAATTATATTCCAATAAATACTTAATCATATATTTGAAGTATATAGTATATATTTCAATGAGATCACATTTAATCAAATTCAAACCTTAGTTGCATAAGTTATGAAGCCTCGTAATGCTTAATAATTGGTTTTAAAATATATCTCGTACTTTTACTAGATTACTTAAGTAGTTCCACTTTGTCCAAAAACGAACAATTTCAAGTAATCTTTCTCTTCTTTATTGCGGCTATAAAATTTAGCAGACACGCAGGTATTATAAAAAACTCATTAAAAAATATTTAATCTTTCTTTAACCTTCAAATGGAGCCTTGTAGAAAATTGTGGCTTTTTACAATCTCTTATCACCTATCATCGAGCTAATGTATATCACCCCATACAAATCAAATTGGGACTTAAGTATTAGGTATTTCAAGAAGTTTTCGATATGGCAAACAGAGTGACTTAGTCATCGAAGTGGACTGAAGTGTTCTGTTTGTTTATTATGTAGAACTTGATGAAGTTGATAACTTAAATGATGGGTAAATACTTCGGTACACAAAAATTATTTATAATAGGATTTTTGTTTATTTTGTGTCACACCTTCATTGAATTTTTATTGACTTAAGTAATTAAATAGAGGAAAGCATATAATGATAGATTGATTGCAAATATTCACTTATTTTATATATCTATTAACATTGTTCTCTTAAATAATATTTCTGTCAATACGTTTTTACTTACCCCGTAAATCTCCAACGCCATCATTGTTAGTATCTTTGAACGATCTTGGATATATTTGATAAAACGAAGCTGTTTGCCACCATGCTTTTGAGCCTAACTTTTTTTCAGTACTTGTCTTTTTTAATTTTATGTACTCAATATTTTCATATTTATTATTGTAATTAGCATTAGAAACACTAAAAAGAATAAACGTTAAAGCTAAACACCGGTAAAATGATTCCAAGCGTAAAGGCATCGTTACGAATATTGACTCAAGTTCTCGTAAATCACAACTGAATTAAATAAATAACCACAAACTTATCTGATCGCTCATTAAAATAATTTTCATCAGGTCAACTCGGCGCTTCTCTCAAATACAGCGTTTTGACGAGGAATATTTAAATTAAGCGTTCGAAATTACAAAACATTTATAAAATGAGATGAATTGGATTGAAAATGAGATGACAACTTTTTAGCTTATGGCACAGCCAACGTATGATGACACATGATTCAATTGATCTTAATTAAATACGATACACCTAAAATGTAAAGCACCTTATAAATTGATTATATTTAATAGTTAATTTATATAATTAATGCATGCAACATTATTTTCAAATTTTCACTCAGCTCAAATATATGTAAAAACTATTTCTTTATATATAAATTAATTTTTGTTGCAAAAATAGAATCCCCAATCATAAAGTAACTGCACATAACATTGATTATCTAGTCGAAATGACCTGCTATCGGATCCCTACATGAACCTGTTGTAAACTGCACAAAAATATACCAGTCAACTAATTCAACTAAAGCGTAATATGCTTAGCACTGCAGTATCGGTATTGACAGGTCACTGCATAAAAGGAAAACATGCTATTAAAATGGATTTACCCTATAATGACTTTTGTCTTTGTTGTAGCTTCTGGAGATGAGGAAGTAACCGTTTTCTACCTCATATGCCAATGCCCATCTTTAGCTAGGAGAAGATCTAATGTCTTCGGGACTCCTTTTTTACCTTACCGGACTTAGTCAAATTTATAGAATTGTTAGGTTCGTTCATCTTCACCTAATGGAGGAGTCATGCCTTTCGAAGTTGCTCGTACGCTGACCTCTAGTCAAGTGAGCTTTGCGCACAAGGCCAGCACTCTAACCTAACCTAATCGAAATTAAGTGAGATGAATATATTATTATATGTCCAGCTATAGATTTATTTCATTAAGAACTTGGCCATCAATGTAATTTAGTTTATAAAGTCTTATTGACTTTATGGACAGTATATTAATGTCCATAATATAACAAAATATTAATGTTCAATATTAATGTAAATAGAATGCTTGAAGTTAATATAAAAGACCTTTCTGGCCCTTTCCAAGGCCGGAGTATACTCAGGGTATCCTAAGGTGTTAATGCAAGATTTCCAAAATTTGCTTAGGAAAAAAAATTGTGTCAGATTTATATGTGGAACACAACAATTTAGATTATACTCTTCACCTTATTTATGACTTGAAAGTCCTACAAGACTATGATAATAAAAAAAAATATTACAATTAATTCTTTACAATTACAAATCCAAAAGAACAAAGCGAACTTGTTAAATAAAGAATAACATGATGAATAAAATAAACTATCATTTATAATATATAGGTAAATTGTCGAAGTTAGGAGTAAATTACGATTTAATTACTTAATTTATATTCAGGAAAAACATTTTTTTCTCCATTTACTACTATAGAAAGATTTCATTAACAATATACTTTAGATTTTTTTTTTAATTTTTTTTTTTATAATTTTCTTCTGTAAATATTTAAATAGCAAAACAAAAACTAATATAAAAAAAAGAAACACCGAGAAAAAAAACAAGAGGTACTCACCGCAGTCGTTGAGATGACGTCACCGCTCCTCAATTTACATAATATAAGCTTAATTATTACTTAATTATTATTATAATTTTTATTATTAACTTAATTATATCTTCAAAAAAAAATCCAATTAGACCTAGTTTGTCTAACATTTTATTCACATTTACTCCATAAAAATTTTATATGTAATATGTTTCTATTTATTAATACTGAATAATAATATTTTAAAGACAAAAAAACTCAAGTGGACTTAGATTATTTGCTTTGTTGAATTTACAATTGTTTCATTAAAAACAAAAAAAAAAAAATAAAATTAAAAATAAAGTAACTAACAATTCATACATATGAACATATAAGTTAGGCAAAAGAAACTATGTAATATTAAAATATTACAAAAAAAAGAGCGGGGTACAAAAAAAAGGAGTTAACTACTAAGTCCACTAATAATTAATAAGATAGATCATACAATTTACATAATATAAGCTTAATTATTACTTAATTATTATTATAATTTTTATTATTAACTTAATTATATCTTCAAAAAAAAATCCAATTAGACCTAGTTTGTCTAACATTTTATTCACATTTACTCCATAAAAATTTTATATGTAATATGTTTCTATTTATTAATACTGAATAATAATATTTTAAAGACAAAAAAACTCAAGTGGACTTAGATTATTTGCTTTGTTGAATTTACAATTGTTTCATTAAAAACAAAAAAAAAAAAATAAAATTAAAAATAAAGTAACTAACAATTCATACATATGAACATATAAGTTAGGCAAAAGAAACTATGTAATATTATAATATTTACTCTATAAGAGAGATAGTGAAAAAAAAAAAATATTTGTACGCTGGGGCTATGTGCCAGAGCGAAGTTGTTGTAGCTGTGGTAGCGGCTGCTAGCGTCTGAATTGTTGTTACTGTTGATGATATAGCTGGCGCGATCGCCAGCAATTCTGCTGTTAGATGTTTAATCAGAAGAATCACGAAACATAACCCCGTTAAAGTCACCAACTAAACCACTGATTTGAATTTTCGTTTTAAAAAAATGAGTTTTTTTTTTCTATTTTTTTTTTTTATTATTATATTTTTTTTTTATTTCCGGTTAGTTTATTTCGTCCTTTTAGGCTTTAGTTATTTAGTTTTATGTATTTATATTTTTTTCAAATTTTTCCTTTTTTTTTCTTTTAATTCTACACGCAAATTAAGTTCGATTGGAGTCCACGCTAAGTTGTAGTTCACATGTAATCTTAACTTTGCGCCACTTTCTATGAGGATTGTTACCTATTTTAATTTACTCGTATTACTTCTGAATACCCCGGTTTTGGAAATTATTTGGTTTTGATTTCACCGGTTTTCTTTATTCAGTGTTCAATATAAAAATTACCGCACAAAATAACAGCACTTATTTCGGGTATATTTAACCGAACAGACAAAAAGGAAAATTCATGCAATTATATTACTTATAGTTCACAGAAGTTTTTTTTTTTTAGTTAATCAAATCCAGCAAAAGAATACTCTGTCACTCGTTTTGTACATTCCGTTTCAAACAAACCAACCAAAAAGAAACCAGTAGCTTCCCTGACTGCTCCTTTTAATTATTTTTAAAAAAAAATTATTTAAAATAAAGTTGGACGGACACACAGAGAAGGTATGTTAATATTACTATTTTATTGATATAGTATTCCTTATTTTATATAATTATTCTTTCTTAATAATTTCAGCTTACATCCAGCATCTTATTCCACCCAGAACTCCACTGAAGTTATTACTGTGAACTAGTCGTGAGCATTCGAGGTAATGTCCATGAAATATTTATCATTCAGTGGTTTTAATTATTTACTTATTGTAGGTCCTCATCACTGTAAGATCAATTTTATTTTTACTTCAAAAATTGATCATTACAATCTTCAATATAATTTTTTAAAAATGTTTGTAAGAAAGACGTAATGGAGTCAGTCGACCTAGGTCCTCATCACTGTAAGATCAATTGTATTTTTACTTCAAAAATTGATCTACAGTCGCCATATTTGGAATATTAAACAACTTCATTTTACCATTTATAGCATTCCCCCTACTTATACCAGACATTTAGAATGAAATAAATTTATAGAATGAAAAGACCACTCTTTATCGATTGCGAGTTAGGCGTATGAGCTAATAATATATATATTGAGTATATTTACAAGCATTAGCTAATATATTCAATATATTGTGTAGCTAATATTAAACAGAAATAACCGAGAGTAACTTAATCTATATCTCTTGCTATTGCTGATTTTTATTTAATAAAGAATCTAACAATGGCGAATTACATTGACTCCCCACATGAAATCATATATGACTTTATATATAACTAATTGTCTTCACTTAATAATGTCTGCACTTAACGAAATTGTGGCAATAGATGACCGTGACCTTTGGAAATATAAAACAATGAATGTATGTTTAAAGAAATTAAATTTGCATTTGCTAAACATAATAGCAGTATATTAATAAATAAATAAACAAGTAAATATTTAACGTATTAATTACATATAAAGATATTAATATAATATAACTAATATTATACTGGTAATATAACATCTACCCTGATAAAAATCCAGTGAATTTTAAATGAATAATGTTATCTCTAAACTTGTTCCAATCGCAGAATTATATCCCTTTTGAGATCCAAAGGATCTATACACATGTAACGTAGTTTTGCACCCAATATTTTAAAATCTGAAGACGTGATTAGAATTATTTTAGTCAACTTGAAATAATTTTAATTAAATGAGCCATTCAAATAAAGGTTTCAGTACCTGATGACGTTTAAGGACTACCATTTTTTGTCTCAAAGTATAATTGATTTATATTATTATGTTCGAGTATAAGTTTGTAGTGGATATAATATATCTTAGACTAAAGAATCTGATTAATTTATTTTCCTTAGCAATCTACTGTAATAATGATTTCACAACTTCTTAAATGTATGAATGTAGTATTAATCATAACGAAGTCATGTGGTTCCGAGAGCGGCGATTGTAAAGACTCTATTGTTTAATGAAATTTGATTTTAATTTCGATTGCAATATAAACTGCAATCAAATCCAAATTATTTATCGAATCCAAATTATTAAACGCAATTCCCGATAAGGTACTGTGATTTACTGATTTGCTTCCTATTGCAATGTGGTTACTTATTTTTGCTTATATGAACGCAAATCTATTTTTGAGCTTTCAATTTCTGGTATCTCAGGTGTAATCGAAGTAAAATAAAATTTTATGAGGGTTTCGAACATGCACTCGACGTGTGGCATCTGATAAGCACTAAGAAGGCATTAACGTTAGCAATTTTATTATTTATAGCGCAAAGCCATAGAAATTGACCTTTACTTGGCGGTTAGTGTTTTCCAATAGGCAACTAATTGATTAGAGAACGAAACTTAGCGTCATAAATTTATTATCAAATCCATGCGAGGAATGGCTGTTGAGTTTTATCTGGTTCTGGAAAAATTTTATTTGCATTAGGGTCTAATGAAATCTTTGAACTACTTTCATTTTTTATTGAAGTATGTGAATTTCGTAAGCTGTTAAAATTTATTAGCCATAAACTAAACTACAAAATCTAAATGAACTCAAACTAGTATTAATTTCAAATCATTTATAACTTTTTATATATCTATGTGTAGATAATAATGTAAATGTATTTGCACAAAACTATAGCAGAACAAATAATTATTTTATAATATTTAAAATAACTTTGGTCGTTTATTGTCTGGTTGTTGATTTCAAGACCACTGATTCCTTAGGCATCAAAGTAATACTTTTGCTCGAAACAACATCGCTGAAATGGAATTTTTGATATTTTTTTTAAATATTTTCAGTAAATATTTAATGTAGTTTAGACTTACCCAATTGCCCTAATTGACTTATCATTGATCACAACGTATTCGAATGAGCTTGGCATGTTATCAAAATGGTTGCTCAAATCGAAGTTTTCAATACTGTCGAAAATGTTGAGCAAGGTTACATATGTGTAATCACCATGCAAGTAACTGAAATTACAAGATAATCAATGTAATAAAAGTAACAAACTGGAATAAATGTTCTTACCGATGAACACCCAAAACATAACGATTCAATGGCAATACCTCACCTTCACCATTTTTGAATGTGTCTTCATTTCTAAGTTCTTGTAATTGCTTATAGATATTCAAATGGCTTAAAGGCTCATCGCGCTCAGTTTCCACATTAACAGTTTGATAATTATCACCGACAGGTAACCAAGTTGAGGAACTATCACTGAATCCAGCATTATGTTCATTACTCCATTGGAAAGGTGTACGTGCTGGATCTCGTGAACGATATTCATACCCATCTTCAAAGCTGTTACAAGCTTGTGGATCAACAGTGTCTTTCCAAGAAATCCACACGTCTGTCATACCGATTTCTTCACCGTTATAAGTGATACTGCAACCAGGTAAGGTTAAGAGTAACATATTAAACATATCCATGCGATCCGAACCGAAACGTGAACCAACACGATTTTTATCGTGATTACCAATCTAAATAAAACATGCAAACCATATCAATTTTTTTCATAACTGAAATTTCCTTTCCACTTACCACCCAATTAGCTGCTTTACCTTCAGGCAAACGATCTAACCAAGAATTAATCATTTCAGAATAGTGATAGGCATCGGAGTCCCACCATAAGTTACTGATCATTTGGAAATTAAATGGTATCTGTGAGCCATCTTTAGTTCCATCACCATAATACTTCATTACCGTATCAATATCTGACCAAGCTTCAGTCATTAAAATGCTGTATTCAAAAAAATACAGTATGTGGTTTAACAATATAAATGCAAGGAATATTTTTAATGTACGCGACTTACCGCTCATCACCGCCGTTTTGTGCTTGATATTCTTCCAATAAGCTACGCCATTCGTATACCAATTGATGAGTTTCAGGCTGATCAGCTGTATACACATGATCAGTGTAACCATAATCCTCTGGATCGTTGTTCCACCAGTTACGTGGTTCATCAGGATAATTGCCATTTGCATCTGGAGCGACTTCAAAAGCATGATGTATTGCATCAATACGAAAACCATCAACACCTTTATCCAACCAAAACAATAAAACATCCTTAAAGAAAATTATGCGATTATATTAAATCAGTACAACTTAATTATTTTAGAGGAAACACAGTATAGTCACTTTTTTGTTAAAACTATTTCATAAAAATCTATTATTTTTGCTTACTTGCATAGCCTCTTTCACAGCTGGATTACGATAGTTAAGATCTGGTTGTTTCTTGTGATATTGATGGAAATAATACTCTTGTCTACCTTCATGCCACTCCCATGCCGATCCACGGAACACACTAACCCAATTATTGGGTGGATATCGTACTCCATTGTATTCAAAACCAGGATGCCAAACATAAAAATCTTCGTACTCCGGATCTCTTGCTGCTGATTTTATAAACCATTCACATTCGTCACTTGAGTGATTGGGCACAAAGTCAAGAATAATACGCAAATCTAATTCCTTGGCTCTACTCATCATATCTTCAAAATCATCCATTGTGCCAAAAAGTGGATCTACA